GCTACCTCTTTTAGACTCCAAAGCATTAGCTCTTCGAGTTGCTTGGTATAATTCAAAATGCATGGAATTCAGAGCTAGAGACTCTAAGTATGAATCCTTGTTCTTTCATTACCTGTGTAACTTGATTATTTAACCATTCTAAACCTGTTTCTCTTTCAATAAAAGAGACATACCAATTATTTGCCTCCATTGGGTTGCATAAAGAATTCATCGCAACAAACTAAGTCTTCAGAGATGCACAGATATACAAAGTAGGTGCCAAATAAGTGTTCATTTCTTTCTTTCATTCCTTTCCCCCAATCATTCATTTAGCACTAAATATAAAATAGATTACATTAGTCATTTATATTTTAAGCTTACCTTCTTCTCTTTTAGCCAGGTAGAATATTTCTGAGGGGCAACAAAAAAACATGCCTAACTCATTTTAATAACCCTACTGCTTGGCAATTTCAGAGCAACTGTTAAGCGCTCGATAAATATTTACTAAGAAAATAATTAATTTGAAAAATAACGTAAGACAAATGGTTCCTCTGCAGAACTTAAATTAACAATTACACTTAGCCTTAAAATATCCTCCTATGACAAAGGCAAAAGGTATTTTACATACAAAAAAACTAATCAAGATCTAATGAGAGTCCCAGTTGATACTTAATGTGAACAAGAGTCATTATAAAGCATCAATAAAAAAAAAAATTCTTCTCCTTAAAGTAAATTTGAGCACAAAGATACTGACAATGGCAATGCAGAGAAATAACAACAATGAACCTGGAGATATTGAAGGCAACAAGTAATGGACTTTTTACAGATGTCTCTTAAGGACATGTCATGTAACCATGTGACTGTTGTACTTCCAAAATGGCTAACAAATATTGTTAACTGCACTGACAAATGTCAAATCAAACTGGTAAAACACATGTTCTGCATTTTAGGGGATTCTCTAATTTTGAAGTCAGGCAGAAACTAATTACAATTTCTATTCTGTTCTCTAGTATTGCTGACCTCTACACCACTCCTAGACAGAATCCAGTATCACCACCCCCATGAAACTTAAGGGTGAAATATCTGCCAGAGAGAAGGGAGCTGTTTTATTCAACCAGCAACTCAAAACACCATTGTTCATGAAAGTTGTGGCAGAAAAAAAGATACAATCTGGCATGCTGGGCACCTGTATATTTTCCTTAAATACAGAGCAAAGTGACCTAAAAATTCAAGTTGTTTTGTATTTACTATCCAGAGGTTATACAGTTTGGTCAGAGAGCATTTGCAATCTGGTCACCTGGCTTGTTACGAAAGCCCTGCCATGACTGACTATACAATCTCAAACAAGTTCATTCCCTCAACAGAACAGTTCCTGAGTGACTATTATGTAACAAAAATACTAGATGATGAGGATTTGGAGATGTAAATATATATATACATATATATGTGTGTGTGTATGTGTATATATATGTATATATATATAAATACGTATATACATATATGTGTGTGTATATATATATTTACATGGAGAGAAAGACAGAAAGATATCCCATGTCTTTCTGGAACGTACAGTGGAGTCAGGTGATCAGGATGGACTGGACAGTTTCTGTCACTGAGGGCATAAAGGCACACCACATCTCCCAGCCTCATGACTTTATTATGACCAGTGAAATGTGAACAGAAGTGAAGTAGGCCGTGTCCAGACCTGGCCATGGAAAATCTCCTGTTTGATTATCGACTTTCTCTCTCTATCTTTTTATTTGCCAGCTGGATGTAAAAGATCCTGCAGAAGGCTCTGAGATCTTAGAGTTGATGGAAAGGAGCAGAAGGCCACCTGCTAAACACCCTCTTAGAACTATTATGTGAGTATGAAATCAACTCCTACTGTGTTAAGTGACTGAGATTTGAAGTTGATACAACAGTTAGTGTACCCTACCAAAGCATGGATCACATCTACCTCCAAGACATTGTGATATAGAGTATGCACAGAACGATGTGGAAATGCTGGAAAGAGGCGGCTCACCCTGGCTGGAGCTAGATACCAGGGAGGGCTCCCCAGAAGAAGAAACATTTAAGATGAATCTTAAAGGACAGTTTGAGACAATGAGGAAAGGGATAGAAGGTTACAGGGGAGAAGGCATATGCAAAGTCATGAAATCCTGAAGAAACCTGGTGCATTGGGAAAGTGTCAGTGACTCCTGACTACTGGAATGTGGAGTCATGTTGGGAAATGGGGCTATTCAATATGTATTTGTTGAAATGACTAATAAAGAGCAGAGCCTAGAAGGCATAGTAACTGTCAGCAATGATGGATAAGGGAAGAGGAAAAAAGTTCTCAAGAACCATCTAAGTTAGAAGGCGGAATAGATGACATGCTCTTCCCTGAGGTAGAAAATGCAGGATAAAGAGGTAAAAAGGTGAGTTCAGTTTTGAAGAAAACTGAAGAGATAACTAAGGAACGTCCAAAAGAAGGATCAGGAGGTCGTCGGATGTATGGGCCCCGTGCTCAGACAACAGTATGGGAAGGAAAGGTGGGTTTGGAAAGTGTCACAGGCAGAGATGGCGGCTGAAGCCACAAGCACGATGGGACTGCTCAGGTAGAATGTTCAGAGTGAGAAGTCAGGGAAACAGAAAAGGAAGAGGGTAAGTGGGAAAGAGAGAAAGAGTAAGAGCAAGAAAGAGAAAGAGAATATAAGAACAAAGTCACAGAAGCCAAACAGAAGAGGTATTTAGAAAGCATTCAACAGTGACAAATGTTTCAGAGTGGTTAAGTAAGATGATGGCCTGAAAATGTCCATTATATTTGACAACTAGGCCGCTATTTGTGACCTTAACAAGTTCCATTTCAGTATTGGCAAAAGCCAGATTAAAATGGTCTGCAGAATGAATGACAGGTGAAGAATTAGAGACAGGAATACAAAATACTCTTTAAGGAAAATTAGCTCTAAGAAACAATTAGCTACTAGTGGAAAAAGAGTTTGTTTCATTTTGTTTTTATTTTTCAGGATGTAATATTTAAACATGTTAATATGCTGAATTCTCTGAACTTTTATTTCCCTATCTGTAAAATGGGTATAATAATGCCCCTTCTGCTTGGTCCACTGAGTTGTCATAATGAGTAACATGACATATGTGAAAGATTCTAAAGTACTAGGTAAAGGGCAATGTTATTATGTATTTTTAAATATCAAAAAGATGGAGTTACAAATGTCAAGAGTCCATTGAAATACGGTTGGCTATAAAATCAATGGAAAGATTATAATCAGTCTAGAACTAGAAATATTAAGAAAAACATCTTTTTAATATACACTATAAGTTGTTCATCCCAAATATTAAAGGCTAACAATACATTTCTATGTCCTATGCCGGGCAAAATTTTTCTGGGGCTCCTAGGGTATAGCCTGGGTTTCCAGATGTCATTACACCAGAAAAAAAAATGTCAATTAACCCTAGTATACTGCAGTACACTAAGTCATCTTGGAGTTTATTAGTCTTATAAATAGTAGTTCTTAAATAAATATTTTTGGCAATCACCCAATAGCTCCATAATTTAGATCTCACGACCAGTGAAATCATAGTGAATGGCCACATTGCCGAGGCCCTTGTTATTCTAAGGGGTGACTGAGGTATTCTGGGAAGTAAGCTAGCCATTTTAGGACTTCCCTCCTGGGAAGATTAACCATCCAAAAGAATAGGATCCATGATTATTTCACTAGTCACTAAACCTTTGCACCCTATAAAGCACATTATTTTTAGCACTATGACATGAGTGGAACTAGTTTTTCTCTCATAAAACATTTCACAAGTAGTTTTAACATGTCCCATCTTCGTCCCTGGGAAGATATCTTATCCCCATTAAAGAAAAATGTCCCTTTTCTCTTTTCTCTGCACTTCTGGACAACTCTCTTTTGACTTGGTTTCCTATTTGCTGATGTCTCATCAGTTATATTATTTTCAAGGGTGTAGGGTGCTAATTAAGATCAAGCAACTGTGTCTCCAGCTCCAAACAAAAATTGTGCAGAATAAATAAGCTTTCCCTTACAATAGATACTGATCTGATCTTGAAACCCAAATAAACCCGATTTGCAATTGTTTCCGTAAGCTTTGTTTTGTTTTGTTTTGTTTTTTATCTTTGGGAGACCAGGCTACAACACTAAAATGGTGCTTCTTTTATCCATGTTTATCCCATCAAATACTTCACCCTTAATGTGTGGCATGACCATATGTAACTATTAAACTAGGCCAAATGCCTGCAGGTCAAGTTTCAGAACTTTCATCCACTGAAAGGCTGAATTTTACCCTAAGACTGACGGTCTTGCAATTACCTCAATCAGATATACAAAGAAAAAGGAAAACTTATGTTGTCCTTAAATACCATCAAACACTTATATAGACCTTTACAGATAATCGAGTATCTTTCGTAAGTTTATCTCATTTATTCTAAAAGTAATATTGTAAATTTATTATTCTTCATCATCACTGATTAACAGAGAAGAATGCAAAGACCCACAGAGTTTAAGAATATTCCTAAGGCCACATACTTGTTTGGGGGCAGAGCGAGGTCTGTATCCAAGATCCTCTACTCCCTAGTCTCCTTCCACTACACCACAGACAGCTCTCATCACGTTACCCACTTTATTTTTATTTCACTTCTCTAGCAACAATGGGAAAAGGCCTAGCTTCCTCTGAAGTCACTAGGAATCTTTGATGAAACACAGACGTGAATTCAGTTCTCCCTCCAATGAAAATACATAACATATTGGTTATATAAGGAATGTTATGGGGTCATCACGGATGTGGAAAGGTTTTTAAAGGAATGTACAAACAATGCTTGGAATCCTGAAAAGGCCAAAGAAGACATTACAAACAAGTGACCAAATATGGAATGAGGGAAAATTCCGTAAACAAATCAGTATTTTCATTTGAATGGTTTGTTTTTATTTCATACGGGTTTCTCTTTCATGGGTTTTTCTCAATCTTCGGGTTTTTTTAAAGGGTTTCAAATGAACATCGTGACCAACCTGTAGATGGAGAAGGAAGCCACTGATCGAATCAGGGATGCCACAGCCCCCACTTTGGCAGCTTCCACTGACCCCTGGACTCGGTACTGCACTGTCTTCGAGTAGTTGACATAAGGTTGATTATACACAACAATCTTCCCTCTTGCTTCTGGGGCCCTTCTCTGCAGTTCCTCGAACGAGGTCACCACGAGAACTTCTGCTGTAATGCCTAGAAAAAACATCATACAGGATTAACTTATGGTTTCCAATCAGCCCTGTTGAATTGGCACACAAAAGGTCATACAGGCTCTACCTGCTACATCTGGCAAACTGGTTTGAGAAGATCAAAGTTTTAGAGCCATTTGCCATGGAAGAAAGACTGCAGAGGTTAGCTAGTCTCCCAAGAGAGAGAAAAGGCATTCAAAATAATAAGGCATACGACTCAGAAGGCTTTTCAACTCACTCGACCAGCTGGTACTAAATCACAAACTGCTTGAAAAGATAGATTTTTCCCCCTTCCCACCCTAAGAAGTCACGAGTTTCACAGAATGACACTAATTATTTATAAAGAAAATGCATTTCAGAAGCTCCCCCTGGGATTAATGAAACACATATTTATCTTTTTATAAAGCTATTTTGTTATGTTGTTAAACAACCTTCATTGACATCATACAAAGAATGGCAGTTCATGAAGAATGTTCTTAGAAGCCAAGAATCTTCAAAAATCCAACTTTTGACAAATAGTTAATGTAACCTCTACCAAGAATTATAAAAAGTCAGCTTGTTTTCTTTCCTCCTTTATACAAAACACTCTCAAAGAATATGGAAATTTCCCATGCTTCTCAATTTACAGTACTGGTTCATCACCAAAACACATCACCGGTCTTCAGAGAAAAATTTTGAAGATGTTGTGTAATTGTCCTATTATCCTGTTGTGTCACTTAGAAGAGACGTGCCGTCTTTCCTCATAAGAGAAGACTTGCCCAGATCTTCCTGATTAGGGAACAGGGTTTCACAGCTTCCAAGAAGTCATTCAAAAACTGCCAGACCACTGAAGATCCAATTTGATGGAGCAGTTTGAGTGACAAGGAAAAAGTATTTAGCAACAAAGGACAGATGCAGCGACTAAATAAAACTGTGAAAAGAAAGTGGCAGGCGCCTACTGTTCTGTGGCTTTAGCCATGCAGTCATGAAATATGTCAGTAAAAACTGAAGTATCAACATGCATTTGGCGTGCTTCCTTAATCTTGCAAACTAGAGAACTAGGTTTTCCTGGAAGGTTAACAGATGCCATTAAAATATTAACTGTTACTTGGAAAATCCTTTTAAAATGCACTGCAGGTATGAGAGAATTCTTGCTTTCAACGTAGGCCCCATTATAATGGACCCTTTGGGCTGGCTCCACTCCTGCTTCTGGTTCTCCTATCTGGACTCAATTTGTGATTTTACTTTAAAGTGACTGACTACAGATCTCTAAGCATGTCTCCACCAACATTCAGAACTCTGAACTTAATTTATAATCTAAAAAAAAATGCAATGTACAATTATAAAAAGGAAGCCACTAGCTCCTTCACATGATAAATAAATATGTGAAACATACAAGTAAGAGTTCAGCTAGACAGATTTTGAGATTCATAACCTTCTGAAACCTGGAAGCTACCTTAATATTTGACTGGGGTTATTGTTGGCATAGTACAAGAATTTTGTTGATGGTTTTCAGTTGTTCCTAATGAATAACAGATTCAATGGTCCACCCAAGGACTGTCCCAGCAATAGGGTAATTTTGGCATCTGGACTGGATCCACTAGAAATGAAGCTGAATTTCTATAAATTTTCATAGGCCGTTGCAGAATTAAAGTCATAGGAGGGTAGTACTTCACTACAGTCTAGGCCTCAAGTTCTTTCAACAAAGGAAAGAGCGGTAAGAGTCCTGAACAACCAAAACCCAACCCAGACACCACAGATGCCAATGCAAATCACTAGTAGAAGCTATAGGTCAAAACCTATCACCATAAACATGGAAGAAGAGTTCAAATTAATTGTTTTCCTGAAAGCCTAGAGTCATCTCTGACTCCTCTCTCCTTCAGCCCTCATGTCTAATCTATCCTCGAATCCAGATATTATGGCTTAAATACTGATTGAACCCAGGTCCTCTCCTCCACTCCATTACACTCTCACATCAGGCCCTCATTAGCGACCTTTTGGACTGCTACAATCCCTCCTCTTCCACCCACCTGCCACCACGGGTGTCCCAGCCTCCAGCCCACCTCCCTCAAACTTCACCTCCACAGAGCTGCTCTAGTGAACTAACTGAACTGCAGAGAAGTCAGCTCAGCCTACATCACCACTCCCACACTGCCCCTCCTCCAGTTCTGTTGAAAACCATCTTTTCAACATACCACCCAAAGCTTGTCCCTCTCTACAGACACAAGCTCCCTCTTCTTTGAAATTCCATCATTAATAAACTTAAAAGTCCCCACTCTCACCATGACAGTTCACTCCTCAGTGTCTTTCTTTGTTCATACTATCACATATCATACAACATCATGTGTTGTTGACCTCATTCTCCCAGCTCCGTCATGTGACAAACACCTATTCATCCTCCAGGATGCCACTTAAGAATTTCTTCTTTAGGGAGCGTTCCCTGGCCTCTGACCTCCTGTCTCATCTCCCTTCCCACCACCAGGGACTTTCAGGTTCCCCAGAGGGAACCACCCTCCTCTGGACTTTCAGAGTGTCCTGGGCATACCTGGGCACTGGACAATTGGAAACCCTGCCTATTTCTGACTCTCTCCACCACATCGACTGTGATCTCATGGAATGGGGCCATGTTCATTTTTGCTTGCATCTCCTGGACATAACACAGTGTTTAGCATATGTGTAGGCAGTCGGTCAATAAACACTCCTTGAAAAGCACTGCTCCAAATAAGGGACCATTGACAGGGTCTAAAGCATTTCCATGAAAGTGCAATTTTACCTTTAAAGTTTGATAGCATTCCTCCCATAATAACTCAGCAGTATGATTCTCTTACCACCCAGAGCACAGCTGCATAACAGTAACCAAGCAAAAAAGGCCTTGGGGCAGTCAGAATAGAAATACACATTCTAAGTATGAAGACTCAAGGACCTGAACATAAGAATGCTCTTCTGTTCTCTGTTAGAGCCTCGTTGCCCTTACTTCACACAAAATTCTAAATCTAGTATTTAAACCTATAAACCATGAGAAACAATAAGTCAAAAGGAAGAGACAGAGTTGGAAGCTGCTAGTACCTCAAAAAACAATGTCAGAGACAGGAACATGTAAAATAACAAATGCTAGCAATTTTCTGCAATGCTGGAAATGAGCACTTAAAATATGACTAATGTGACTAAGAAACTGAATTTTTAATATCATTTATTTAAATTAATTTATATTTGAATTTGAATAGTCATATCTGTGTAGTAGCTGCTATGTAGAACTGACAACCACTGCCGACTCAGTCATGATGTAGGCAAATAGCCGAAAGCATCTCTGTTGACCCTGAGAACCTTGCTTCATGACAGTTCAGTAACAGGCGTGAGGGTCATGGTGATGATCCCTGGCAGCAGTCACAGATCAGGTGGACTGTATTCAGTACCCATCTTTTGGAAAGGTGGAGTATGTAAAAAAAGCATTTCAGGAAGATTTTTGCTCAAATTGAATAAAAGAAAACTAGCCCACCTGGAAGACTTTGCTTTTCTATATTAGTTTGTGTTTTGACACATGTTACACAAAGGAAATTCTCACGTTCTCCTATGAATCAGCAGACTCCTTTTCTGTGCTCTCATCTTCCTTCTCCATTCTCAAAGATAGTACATGAAATCCTCTACGAACAAAAAACCAGTGTCGTATTCACAGTAAGGCCTTCCCTCACCTCCCTATTTATAACTGCAACCCACTCCCAACTCCCTAGCCTCTTATCTTGTTTAATGTTTCCATAGAATTTATCAGCTTCCAGCCACACCTACTACAATCATGTAAGCCCCATGAGCAGGCAGAAATTTTTGTCTGTTTTATTCATTAATGTTATCAAAGTGCTTGAAATGGTACCCAATACACATTATGTGAAATTCACACACACACACACACACACACACACACACACACACGCACAAATGCATACACGCATGCATATACTGAATGAATAAAAAGAAACAAAAAAATTAAAGTATAATAATACCTCATCCCTGATCACTCTCCAAAAATGTATACTTCCAAGGAATATGTGTATTTCTGCAGGTCAGAAAAATTGACGATAATAATAATAGTTATATTTGAATATCTATTGTTCATACTAATGCTCAGAGAAATTGCAGAGTAGTTATTGGGAGGATACTGATAAGCAGGTAAATAAATCTGCACAACTACTAGGTGTTGACGCTGACATTTGAATCCAAGGGTCATGTTCCTCCTATTTACTGCACTGTTATCTTCTTTCGCAAATGTAAAATAGATCAAAAGAAAAGCTCAGTATTTTCATTTTAAAAGGAATAAAGAGGAAAAATAAAGTATATAAAAAGTCTGTCTAAGTTATCAGTTATTTTTCTTAGTCTACCCAGGATCTGACTAATAAATTAGAGTACTATGATCACATTAGGTCCCAATCTATTAACAGAAGAGTTGGGGGGGGGGGAGGTTTCCCTCTAGGACAAGAGTCATCAGACTCTGTTAGAGTAATGAAAAGGATTATGATAGTTAATTCTGAAGAAAATGTGTGACTGAAGCTAAGAATATTCACATTATAAAGCAACTCTCTTGGCTACAGCTGATTATATCACAAAAACAGTGTAAAAATCCTCAGGTTCCCTTTTATTCTCCACACCTAATTTTTTAAATTGATCAATTTATTTTTTAAGCAACCTACCCTGTGCATAATTACCACTGTGGTCTCCTTGCAGAGACGACAGATGCTGACTGCTGTGGTGTTGGCACAGATCATTTTTTCTATGAAGAATGCGATGAAGAGACTCCAAGCTTGGTATCTTCTGACTTGATTCCTCCCAAGAACAGTTAAGAATAGGAAGACAGTGAAGTGAGAATGTTTATAATGTCTTCTATTATTAAAAGGAAAGGAAAAGACTACAAACAGAAAAACATATCTCTGGGGCTCAATTCAACGTGGTATGTTTTAGAAAATTGATTCTGATTTCAGAAGACTTGGCCTCCAAAAAGGAAATACTGGAGCCCCACCCAAAAGGAAGCCTAGCTTC